ATCTCCAAGGGCGTTTTGTTTCTGTTTGCGTTTTATCAGATTATGGATCCCCTGTTTTATTCAACAAGGACCACAAACCCATTCCCCCGATCCCTCAATTTTCTGTCTTTATGTGATCTTATATCAGGGGAACATCTGATACAGCATGTCTTGAAAACACAATCTCCAAGATTTTACCTGGATTTCCCATCCACTATATCATGTGCTGAGTCAGTGCCATTCTTATTCATACACCCCCGTTCAGGTTCTATGGTTCTATGTTCCCATATATCTCCAGATTTCTCACAAACTATGATCCCACTGCAGAAAATCTGTGCAAAATGCCGAACTAAATCAACGATAAACGACGTTGCATGCCATTGGTTTTCTGATGTTTCTGCCGGTTTCACTTCTTTTAATTGTTGAAATACTGTGGTTATGTGTATGAAGCGATTCCTTGGCTTGAGTTGAGACAATAAAATCGCGACATCAAACCGGAAATTTGAATGGAGCCTTTAGAAGAACACTTTCAGTGTCTGATAATGAAGCAAAAGATGCCGGTGGAAGCCCGTCTGAAATTGTTTGATTCATTGGCGTAGCAGCTCAGTCTGCACACACCGCATTCAGTTTCGCGTGACTTCCACTCTAATTCGAATACAATACTTGCCAATTCAATCACTTTCCCGGCGTGGTACAAAAGCTGGAATGACGTGTGAATGACGGATTTCAGCTGTTGGGGCGATGCGTGGACTTTGGGCGGCCTAGTCCCCATAATGAAATCTGTTATGTTCAGGGTTAGATGTATAATCGATACCAGCACCTCTTGCCTAGCTCCCAACAGCAATACGAGGGAGAGGAAATGAGAACACGACTGGCGGGTAACAGTCAGAGAGTATTGTACGGATCACCACGCGATACGTCAATATGTGGGTAGATTGGGCGTACGAGAACGACGTAGTGACGCATGAATCAGATCGTGCCCTTGGCACTCCGATTGGTCGACCGGATGACAGCTGTCTGATTCGTCCTAGTCATCCAATCCGGAATCGACTCGCCTTGGGCGTCGCGAGCGTGCTTGTGTGTGTGTGTGTGACGCGGTCCGTGCTCGGCTTGACCGATTCTGTGCGGTCCGTCCTAACACCTCCACCCCCCTTGAATTTGAATCGTATGTCGAGTTGCATGGGGCGGGGCGGGGCGGGACGGGGGAAAGGGAATATGCGTTTTCGTTTCGCCCTCTCGTTGCATTGTTTCCGTTTCCGACCCAGGGTTGAAACACTACGTTTAAATTCAAGCGAGTGGGTGGGTAGAAAGGATCGCACAGAACCTGTGAAGCCGCATCAATTAGCAGTTCAAAACCTGACGCAGTGTCACGGTATCATGGAGTTTTCCTACGACCCTGACGCTGGCCTGATATTCGAATACTAGATCAACCTTCATGTAGACATTTTCGGTATCGAGCTGGCTGAGAACGATAACGTATGGAAAGTTCGAGTGCTGTTGAGAAAACTTGCAACAACGGAACATGCAAACTATACCAATTTTTTTCTGTCGAACAATGCCCGTGACTACAACCTCGACGAAACTGTGAAGTCCCTCTTGCAAATATTTGTTGAACGGTCATCTATTTTCAATAACTGACAAAGAATGAGGCTGCCGAGTGTGTGACGTACGCAGGCATTGTTAATCGGGAATGCGAAAAATTGACTTGAAATGTTTAACGGCTGAGCAATTCAAGTGTCGCATATTTGTTTGTGGTCTTCAGCAACGAAGGGATGCAGATATACACAACCGATTATTGGACAAACTGGAGCGGGACCAGCAAATAGCCCTTCAGACTATCACCAACGACTGGTAAACCTCAAGCACGATACGAAAATGCTGGATAAACATTCACTAACCAGTCCTAATGTGTTTCAGATAACCTCGAAGAACCATCAACTAAAAGAATCTAGCTTTACCAAAAGCCAAGGAGAAATGAAGACCACCATCAGCCTGTTGGAGGTGTGATGAGTGGCATTGGGTTAGACTTTGCTCAGACCTCAAACACGTCTATCAACTGGGCTCAGATACGCCGAGGTATTTATGCAAGCAGTTCGATTCTCGGGGTCACAAAACAGCCCGTCTATTCTTGGATTGATGGCAATTTGAACACAGGGACATTCATTATCCTTGCACGCGAGTGAATCGAGATCCGATACTATTGAGGGAATCCGAAAGATGGTGATACGGTGTACTGAAAATAAGGGAGGAGTGAGCGTTCCTGAAGCAGTGTTGGAGGTGAGTCGGTGTTCTTGAGAAGGCGTGTCTTACCATATGGACAACGTGAGGAAGTGTTGAAGGCGATCGAACGAATGGAGGAGAACAGTGATATTTCCCCAGTGACGTTATCAACGTGGGCAACTTCGATTGTTGTCGCGATGATAAGTGGTGGCAGAACTCCGAGGATATGGGGTGATTACCGATTAGCACTCAATCCTCGATTGCGTAACTGTTCGGCGACGACGACGGAGAACTTCATGAAATCCTTACATGGTTGTCAGTTTTTCTGTAAAATTGATCTCGCAGATTCCTGCCTTCAGATTTCACTGCATCCACATTCGCGGGCATTTACGACACTCGATACTCAGTGGGGACTTTTCCAGTATAATTTTCTCCCCTTTGGTTTACACGTATTATCCGCAATTGTTATTGCACCAGTCATCTCCTACTTTAGAAATCACACTGTTATTTCTTCATCCACTACTGAAGAGAAATCTATAGAACATGGATCTAAAGGATTATGTTTGTTGAAGGTGCACACTGGTAAAAAATATGGGTAAATCTTTTGATAGCATCCTTGAACTTTATTCACGTACTGAGCTGAATCCTTTCCTGAAGCAGGATTGATTCGCAAATTTATTCGAATCCTAAAATCATATAACTCAAGTGGCAGGCGAATGTATAGGAAGATCTAGCCGTTTCACCGAATCTTTATTTTTTCAAATATAATAGCGGTTTGTTCTCTGATCTTACTGAAGTTTTGCGTCACACGTATGACAAACGGAGCGTACGAAATGTAACCCTCATCCTAAGATGAATTGTTGATAAATTTATTTAATCTTCTAAATGGGATATACTTTTGTTACGTTGGTAGCAAGCAGGGAATTCCCGGATCTCACACTCGAATATTTCCGCCATCCCCTAACCGCACAATTTGTAAACACAAACCAAGGGGAATGAGAAAGAAGACAACGGAGAGAAATCTTTGATCTGTCTTTCGTGTTGTTTCACTGTTCTGCATTAAAAGATGAGTGAAAAAGTCAACAGACACTCCACCGACGTACGCACTCACACATATGACATCAAGTGGAGGTCGATTGCGGTTACTGTTTACCACAGGGAGGATGTAAGAGAGTGCGCGCGTGCATCTGTGTGCGAGTAATGGATCAACAAAAATCGAGCACACAAATCCATCAAAACCAATGCTCGCAGGCGAACTGTAAACGGAGATCATCTGTAGGCGACAGTTCACGCCAACTAGTCCTGTAAGCGAAATCAGTCCGGCAGGAAAGCGACACGGCGAGTGATTAAATGGTTGTGAATGAGACACAGTCAAGCGAGATACGGTTGAACAAGAAGCGAGTACAAGACGGGTGAATTAGAAGACTGAACAGAATGGCGGAGGTCACGAAAAATCGCGATTGGTCCGATGCACATATGATGGAGAGGACCGCAGTCGAATGAATCAACACACAAGCGGAAAATCGGTACCCGAAACATGCGAGTTCACGTCTTCGGTGACGAAAATGATATGAATGAAGATGGCAAAACGATAATGATATTATTGTCGATGAAAATGCCAATGCGTATGGGGCGAGAGCATCGTGTGTGGACTCAAATCCATCTAACAGTCCGAAAAGCGTAACTCTCCTAGAGCTAGGCTAAACGGAGTGGAGATTGGATAATGAGAACCAACCAGGCGACAAGTGTGCACGCTACAGTAATCAGGGTTAAGAAGAGAACGGCGCCGACAAAATGAAGGACACAGAATTCGCAAGAACTCCAATTCCTTGCATTCTATTGTTGGGTCGAGGGAATACGTATAGAAAAATAGGCAATGTAGCAAAACCGGAATCCCAAACGAAGCTGTGATCTTTCTTTCTAACTCACTGCATCGTAATAACGTGTAGGACTCGATAATGCAACCGGAACATCAGTTTAAAGATGGAGGTGGGGAGATAACTGGAGCAAAGGGAGGGAAGTGAATGCGTGTCAAGATGCTTGGTCACACTGTTCGAGGGAGAGGGAAATATAAGGTCCCGTGCACAAGCTGCTGATCAGGCACTGAACCAAAACAAATAAATAAACAGCGAGAAATTTGAGGCGAAAAGATGTTTGGAGGTATGAGCAGTCTGAAATAATGGGTAAATGAGCGAACAGAAAGGAGTGTTAACCATACGCCCATCGGTATGAATCACTGGGACATAGACAAACCATTAAAAAAACGTGTGATTTCAGAAGTAGCANAACGTCTAGGTTATGCACACAGGTGAGGGGAAAAAGGATGCCATCGTTTGTGTGCACATGTAAGTGTATATGTGTAAGGAGGGAGTTTGAAATAGATGGGAGAGGGCGGGGTTATCCATTGGATGAATCACAGGATCGCAGTATGGGGGAATCAGNTCTCCTCCCTTTCCGGAACACTAAAAATGGGACAGGATAGAGCACGTGGCCGCAGGACACCGGACATGGTGGAGATCACAGAGTCAAACGTGAAAGCCGGATTGAGATGAAAGAACGGTCAGGCGAGGCAGTGAAAGGCCGGATGTAATTGAGGGACAATGAAGCCTAGGGTGTCACATTTTTGAGAATGGTATACTGTCAAGAACCGTTTTTTTCCTTGCTCATGGAAGATTTGGGATGTACGAGAATTTGGTGGATAGCACAATAAACGGATAACAAATACATCTGAAGTGTTATTGAACATGCCGTTACTGGTTGCATCCACATGTGCACGAACATAAATCTGATCAAGGGTCATTCTAAAACGGTGGTCGGTCAGACCCTGCTGGACGAGTTGGACGATGAACAATATTTACTTGTTGCTCTGATTGTTCAGGCACAGCTGACGACGATTCGGGTTCGGGAACGAATGGGTGATCCAAAGCATCACCACCATGATCTCCATGTAGCGAAACTTTTTCCGGTTCCGATGAAACATCACCCAATTTGTTTAAGGTAACAAGGAGTTCACCATTGGTGGTTTCGAGCGCAATCGGATCAGGAGCTGGAGGTGCATTTTCCTCGGAGAACTGAGAACGCAGATATACTTGGAACGGCTCATAATTCAGCATTTGTAACGAATCGGAGAAGAACACACGCTGGCCCGTGGAATTAACATCCACCTCATGTTCCATGGGATCTTCGTAATGTGATCCATCCTCCGACTGGTATCTGTCAGCATCATCTTCCTCTAAACCCTCGCTTTCACCAGAACTGACACCCGGGGCTATGTCATCCTGTACGGGGATACAATGAAAGCAACATAAAAATGTGATACGAAGACAAGAAAGAGGATACCTTACAAAGAAACACATTTCTCGACCAGTTTGATCTCGTTTAACCGGATCCCTTGATCATCTGATTCCAACCAGTGGAATTTCAGCAGAGACTAATACAAAAATGATGCTCTATAGTTAGTTAGGTTCAAGAACTGGTTAATTATTTTTCATTTCATTTTCACTACCTTTTACTGAGTAGACAAAGGTACAATTTTCAGGAAGCGGGAGGCGGCAATCAAAAGGCTACCATACTTTTTAGACACGCAAATACGGAGGCTAGCCAAACAATGGATTTGGACCTATTGGGCCAACGATTCTTGCCATGCATTATTATATACAGGACAGAGAACCGTTAAGGTAATGAAGGTAATAAGTGTATGGTCTTTGTGCGGGGAATGAACAGAAGAGAGGTATGGACCAACCGAATGCGTTATCTCAGACATGCAGCAGCAATACCCGAGGATATCGTGGCTTTTTGATTAGGGTATCGCAGCTGGCCGCTCGAGACCGCTCATTGAGGATGAAAGTGGGAACCCTGAACTCAATTTTTAGACAGTAAGACACAAACGGAGATAAAACACATTAGCTCACTTCATATATAACCTAATTTAGTTAGTCCCAACTTATATCCTTAGCTGGACTTTGGAAATTGTGAACAAAAAGGACTATACACTAGTAATTGCAGTGCAGGGATGAACGCGTGATGTTCTGCAATGTTACTATTATAAACAGCGAAATTCGTGGATGATTCGCGACCTGTACCACAGGATTGTCCACACACCATTTCGTTTACCTTGCAGATCCGGAATGCGTTTAAATAGATTAGTTTGATAAGAGAGATTTTACATTGTTCGATTGCACTTAGTCATCTCACTTTCAAAAAGCTGGTATTAGCGTCAAGGAATCGAGGTGCGTGAAAGTTACAAAATAAGACCGAAGTCAAGATTTGTCTGCCATATCCGTCCGTCGTGACGTAAATGTAAAAAGACCATTTTAGCTCCTAATTGAGGAATATAACATTCTTCCAAGCATTTTCATGGGACAACAGTCAGTTTTACCTCTACATCCGTTGACACCACAAATGCAAATATTCAAGGAAACTTCGGGTCAGTCACTGAGAAATCACATTGCAACTGATGCACAAGAACGAGTTCAACATGCTCACAATTCAGGATATTTATAGCGCGGAAAAATGAAACGAGAAGACGAAAAGACAAGAGGCCGGTGAACGAGGAGTCGTTGAAAACATACCGTCATTGGGAGAATTTTGTAGACTTGCTGGGCCAGCATCATAGTGTCCTGAGCCTGATTCGATCGACCGGAAGACATGCACCAATAGGATTGAGATATGTTTGAACTAGGCTGTAAACTGTGCTTGATTGCCTCAATCCACTGCAAGTACGAGTAGAGAAGAATAAGTGAGTTCAAGTGAGAAAAATGTAGGAGCAAACGATGCATATATAGTGAATACGGCTCATATGGAGCAGGTAATGCCGTTAGAGAACTAACTGACTTACTCAAACGAAAGGTAGTAACAATCAGTTTTCATTTAACAGGTTTCGGTATGTATTATAGGTCTATTATCGTGAGACACCAGGCCAAATATACATCGCAGGTGGGACATGGAACGATGACGCAGATAGAGAGAGAGGGATGGTGTCAATTAGACACTATTTAGCTTACCTGGTGCATCCAACGAGTCAAATTTTCGTCCGTTTGAAACAAGGATTGCACATTCACATCTTTCACGATAAGTTCCATGAACAATTTGACCACTTTAGTGTACTGAGTGACTGACTGATGATACGCCGAGGATGAGGGTAGATTAATCAATCCAGTCTGATCTGCGTCTGGAACGGAAAGCAATCGCCGCAAGCATGGGTGTATTACCGAAATTCGCGTATCAACAGATTTGTTGGACCTATCCATATGATTAACGCACATGGATATTTTCCTGTAATGTCAAGTTGTGTACCTGAAAATCTACAGTCAATTATTTTCTGCCACTCAGATTCACGATAAATTAAAGGAATTATCAAGGCCGTCGGCCGAAATGTGCGAAAGCAATTAGAATGAAAAAATTGGATACTGAATTCCCAGGATTCGCAAAATGATGTGTCGGAATGAATTCGGTAGACATGCAATCCATACATTATGATGAAATCATTTATGCATTATGCATTTGTAAGTCCCGAGGACAACTCAATTGCATGGGTTCCCAACTGCTCAATATATCATCAACTTATCGTCATCACCATGCTAACAGGGACTATACTGCATAAGAGTAAGGAAATATTCAGGTCGAGAACGCAAATCGTTTAGATCGTCCACGTTATCGCTTTATTCGCTTCGCTTCAGGCAAACTGATGGCGTTTTCCTTTGCAGACTACTTTGGAAACGACATCCGAGGAATCAAGGAATTCT